ACATGTGCGTATTTGTAATAAACGTTGTGTACCGAACGGTTAAGGAAAAAAAAAAAAAAAAAGTACACATGCAATTACGATTACAGCCCGAACAGATATGAATGCTTTCCATTAGCAATCCTGTCAACACACGCTTCAGTCAATAAAAACAACCGAGGCCCAGGAGAGAGGTTCTTACTGTGGGTTTTCACAATGTTACCCAGACGACCAACCACAGATTGAACCACTCAAATCATGACCGATTTTTTTTTTTTGAAGGAACTGGTTAAAACCATGTCCCAGCCTTAGAGAGATGGATGTGAATAACATGAAACTCTTATGTGATAATGGATTCAAACAGAGTCAAACTCAGTGTTCAGGGTTAGCTTATCGTAACTAATCAAGAGCTATGAAGAAAAACTATATTATTCTATGATTATTTCCTGTCATTCGTCCAGCGAGAACATTCAAACCATATAATCCCGGCGAGCGTTGCAGTGTTCGAAACCATGTGACCGGGGGGGCCTCGGTTAATCCTGAATGTAATTTCAATGACTACATTCTCTGGACGGCGCAGCACGGTAAACGCTGTCGAGCACAATTTTGAAAATGACATGTGAACGCCGCGCCAAACACGAAATTCATCAGCGTAGTACTGTGTCAGACACACATTAATCTGGCCAGCGGCTCTGGATTAAATGCTCTTCACATCCCCTTTGGCCTTTGTCAATGACAGAGTCAGACAGAGAGTCTTTACGGTGGACTTTTGGGTTGGTTTTTTTTTTTTAATAACCATCCACTGGCACACGTCTTGAGAAAAAGTCATGTGATTTTTTTTTTCTTTAAATGTGAAGTAATTTATATTTTTATTCTCTTATCCTAATATTTATAAGCAGATTTGGCCTGAAAGTGAGTGGGGGAAGCGCCCGTCGCAAATGGCGATAGCATTGTGCTAACTAGCTATCGTTTTTGAGTCCGTTTACAGGTGTTTTACAAAGATACAGAAAGTGAAAATATTTGAATGAAGGGCCTTTTTAACGCAATAAGCTTCAACACACAATAATAGCGAGACCTAGCTGCTTAGCATGTAGCCGCAAACCTTTTTCTTCAATGAAAACTAGCACGTGCGCCAAGGCTGTTCGTCTCCGATGCTAATGAGGCAGATAATTAAAACGTGCTGCGATGCAGAGGTTGTTTGTGTCGCCAGTGAATTATGAGGTTTTGGTCAGAAGCCCATTTACAACGGAGATGAAAGCAGGACTTTTGACCTTGCGGTCGATGCTATTTTTAGCCAATGTTGGCCTTCGTGGCCGTGTCACTAAAACATGTAGGCGCACACTGGAGATCGTTTCGCATTCAAACGCAAACAAAAGCCACACGGAAGGTAAACACTGTAGCGCGTCAGCATCGTCCATGAGGACAAGGCCGGCGCTTATTTTTCTAAAGACAATTGCAGAACACGAAGATAAAGAAGGAGAGCATCTATTCGGGAATTTAATTAATATCAACACTCACTTTTCATCTCTGTGTCTGTGAACAAAACACTGCAGTATTTGAATTAGCGGGGTGAGCTATGTTAGCTGCTCTGGTGCCTTAACGTCGCATTTATTAACGTGTTTGCTTTGGTGCCTTAACGTCGCATTTATTAACGGACAAACAATACAGCGGACACCCTAGATACGAGCTTCCCGAGTTACGAGTATAACATGTTACGAGTCGGCAGCTAACGCAAAATATGGAGATAATTTCAAATACCCGCGCATACAGGTTCTCGCTGTGACTCAGATCAGACTGATGGTGGCGCTAATGATGATGATAGTAGTGATGTTGATGATGTGGCAGTGATGAGTGATGAAGATTCACTTTTCATGTTTAATAACAGAAGAAAATATATATATAGCCTATACAAAATATACACAGTCCTTCTCCTACGACCCCGACACTCTTTTTCGCGCTCGCTTACTGTTCCTTGCTTGTCGTTTTACCTATTTTTGTAACAATAATACAAAATGTTGTCTTTATTATTATTTCATATTATCGATATATTTGTTTATATTTATGTTTTTTGATGTTTAGATTAGATATTAGATAGGGGGAATTAAAAGTATATTTTTCCGGGGAGCTGGAACAAATTGATAGAATTTTTTTTTTTTTTTTTGTGGTTATTTTTAATGGGGAAAATTTGATGTGGATACGAATGGATGGAGACGGGAGTGTTGTTGTGGAACGGATTCAACTGGCATCTACTGGCAGTCCACTGTCTACCTATTGTTACTACACTCGTGCATAAATCCATACTGAACGTTGTTCCAATGTTATTATGCATCGTCACAGATTCACTCATTATTCACACATACTCGTCCGCGGCCTCTGTTCAGTTCCCTTAAATCCCCACCACGTAATTCCTCTTTCTGTTCAGTCGACGACAAATCTCCCCTCCAGCAGTTGTCTCCACCTCCACTGTACACACGACTTCAATCCCAGTGACGCATGACGGTAAACATTCAACATTGATTTGGATTTTCCTGCAATGATCACTTCACTTCAGTGCAACTATCCCATACAACGTCATTTAAAAAAAACAAAAAACATTCCACCTCATTCCTCAGTGAACGTCCATGAAATGGTTTTTGGGTCATAAAATCAGGAAATAGAAATCAGTGTTTTTTTTTTACAGCTTAGGCGTCTTATCCTACTGAGAACCCGCCGTTGCAGCATAGGAACACCGTGGTGATGAAGTATTGCATTTAAGCCATGGTTGACTAGTTCAAAGTGTTGCAATAAAATACCCCATTATACCACCACCAAGGCAGGAGGCGCCCATGCTGTCCTGTTGTTCATGCTAACCGATTAGCCTAAAAATGGACCAGCAGGCACCGAGGCTTATTAGCATCTTTTTTTTCCAAGCCTTCTGTTGTTTCGTTTTGTGAAACCAGAGGCTATTTAACATGACTGATGATGCTGTAAGGCAGCCGGCGTGCGGCCATTCTCTGAGCTTTAATCTCTCCTCTGAACTTTGGTGCCAACAAAAATGTTTGGTTCAGAGAGCGACTGCTCCCTGGATATGTTCTTCTTTTTTTTTCTTTTTTTCTTTTTTCAGTAAAATTCACAGGTAAGTAAGAGGAAAAAAAAAATGGAAGAGTGGCTGAAATGACCTTCCATAGTTGCAATGCTCGGCTTGAGCGTGCTCTGCTGCCATCTGATTGGCTAATTAGATGTTTGCAAGAACAAGCTGTTGAACAGGTGTAGCTAATAAAGTGGCTCGGGAATATAAAATCCACGTGTTCCCCTTAAAGGGCCGGTTGTAACTGTAAGAGTGCGTGCATGGAACTACTCCATGACGTATTGATCCATGTTTCTGCAATTGATTATTATATTATTATTATTATTATAAGTTAGAAATAATGCTCTGTTATTATCAGGTTAAGAATCCCATATCACAACATAACAAATTATAAATTATAATCATTTTTATATATTTTTATATTTTTTATTTTTTTATTTTTTTATATTTTTTTATATATTTTTAATATATATATATATTTATATTTTATAATAAGTTTTTCCCCCTTTGTTCTCATGCGAGAGAACTACAAGTTTATTAGATATTTATAATTAATGAAATGAACATGAAGTGTGGCCGGATTGAACACTCCAGCGGGCAGTTTTTGGCCCCGCGGGCCGTATGTTTGACACCTCAGCTATAAGGCAATTAAACACTTTTTAAGCTCCCCCTGGGCCACACGACAGGACTTGGCGGGCCACATTTGGCCCGCGGGCCTTGAGTTTGGCACAGTCTTTAGAAATCTAAAGTGAGCGTCACATCAGTCACTTTTGTGAGACCAGCAATTCATCAGCTGGGTGTATTTTCTCACTGAAAGAACCTTCACACACTTCATTATCTGGGCCTGTCTGTCTGTGACTGACGCGATTATTGGACTGAAGGAATAGTTTCAAAAAGAACCAACAAGCTAATCTTTTTTTTTGTGCTACAACTTTTGTCTGATTGATTGCAATTACTGAAGAGTTTAAATATTGGAAGCGGGTAGGCACAAAAGGATGGAGCGGGAGCTAGAAGGGGAGGAGGGGGAGGTGTTTCAACAAACTGACCTGCTCAGAGAGCTGCTTTCCTCTGAGGAAGAAGCCCAGTAGACAGCCGATGACCACGGCCAGCACGGACATGATGAGCAGTCCGTTTTGCTTGCACACATTTTTCACCCGCCCCCACACCTCGTCCAAGGCCATTCTCTGACACAATTTCCTCCTCCTTTTTTTTTTTCTTTTTCTCCCTGCTGTTTGACTTGGCTGCTGAGTGCAACCCACTTCTCTGTCCCCAGAGAAAAATATATCTCTTTAGAGCTTATTGGGCCATGGATCACCAGCGCAGAGCCTACAGCTGCAGACAGACTGGAGGAATCAAACAGATTCGGATGCAGGAGATGAAAGTGGTAGATGGTCGAGGCCCAGTTGGGAAAAAAAAAAAGAAAAGATTAGGAAAGTATGTCGCCTCCTAAAAGAAACGAGGACCGAAGAAGTCGAAAGGTAACAGTCATCCGGCTTCGCTGTTCATTCAGTCAGACTAAAGGCATCAGACTGTCACACTCTCACAATGCCACCCCTCTACTCCCCCCCCTCCCTTCACCCCCTTCACCCCTCCCCGCTACATTGATGACTCCTGATGGCCAACAGGGGGCTCTGCGACAGCTGGTGGTATTGTCATCAGGGTTAATACTAAGATCCTATTAGGCTGTGCTGCAGGACTCAGATCTGGGGCTGGATTAGTGAGGCTCTCTAAACAATTGGACAGTTTGCAGAACCAAAAATAACGGGGCGGGGAATAATGTGACATGAGTTAAATGATGAAATCAGATGAAATTTTCTGTTGCAAAAAACCCCAAATGACAACGACAACGCAAAAAAAAAAAAAAAACGTGTAGCTTGTCTATTTCTTTGAAACATTGAAAGTCTCACCTTGAGACTTGATCAGCGACAAACGAGAGGCAGCAGATAATTAGGCACGGTGTTGGTATGCTGTTTGGGAACTCAAACGGAAAACAAAGTTACAAACAGCTCATTAGGATGAAGGCATCATCCGAGTTCAAGATGATTTCGATTTATTTCAGTCCAACGTGAGACTTCACCTGCTGCTGCCCCTCCAAGACTTGGTTTTTAGTGTATGAACCTGTGCAACAAAAAAAAGTTGTAAAAGTTTGTAGAACCAATCATCCGCGCTTTAGGAACGGAGTCATCCATTTTACATTGATTCCTAAGGGGAAAATTGTTTCAGTGTTTTCCCTTTTTTTTTTATTTATAACTTCCCACACTGGGGAAAGTCTCGTTTTAAGAGCAGATGTGCTGCAACAGGCCGCCCCTTGGAGGCGAGATGTGCTGCCACAGGCCGCCCCTTGGAGGCGCCAGGTATGTGGTTCCTCTAGGAATTGCCTTTTAGATGATCCAGAAATACATTTTAAAGCCTCTTTTAAAGTATTTTGACCCTACTGGGTATTTGAGGTTAAATGATTCTTTCAGCTGCATTCACGAGGTACAGTGAATTTCCACAGTCTTTTCATGCCACATCTATTTAATACTGGCTTGAAATAATTGCTATCCCACAGCTCAAAGGTATTCCGAAATTGTGTTGGGATAGGTACTGAAAGTTCGGCTTCAAACGGCACAGCCGCACACAGAAACATTTTTTTTTTCATCAGCCCCCACTGGAAAAACTTCACAACGTCGTGAATCAGTACCAGCGTAGTTTCAGTTTTGTCTTGGGTCTGGTCACACTCACCTGGGTGCTAATTAGTGCCACCTGGTGTCCTGGGTGTATATATACCTCTCACTCTGTCTGGGGTTCATTGTTGCTGCCTGATGATATGACGTTTGTCTTCTGCCCTTTTTTTTTTTTTTTTTTTAAATTTTTTTTTTTTTTTGCCGGCCTTTATTGGTTTTCTTTTTTTTTTTTTTTTGCCGGCCTTTATTGGTTTTCTTTTTTTTTTTTTTTCTGGCCGGCTCTAATGGTTTTCCTTTTTGTTTAGTTTCCATGTGCAATCCTTTTTAGTTCTGTCCCTGTACTTGTTGTGTTTGTGTTTTTGGTCTTTGTTGTTTTTTAAATTTTTCTTTTTTTTTTTTTTTTAAAAAAAAGCATTGCACCTGTTCCCATGTATGGGGTGATACATAAAAATGACAGAAAATTCTCTTTTGCTACTGGAATACAAAATGAAGGGAGAAAAAAATGGTTGCACACTCACATGAGAAAACGAAAGAACAACAAAAAAAAATGCATACGCACAGTGGTTCATTCAATTAAAAAGATTGTTGGCAGTGTTTCTTAAAAGAACTTTACAACTTGAGTTACGTCTTCTACTCTTTGCAAAGTAACAAAAATGAATTTTTTTTTTGTCCTTTGATAATTATACAGCACTGTTTCCCAAAGACTGGGTCGCGGCCCTCAGGTGGGTCGCAAGAGATTCTTTCTGGGGTCGTCTCGCATCATGTTTCCCAGGAGTTTACGAATAATGTCTGTTGACTTGGGTCGCGAAGGTTTGTGACTTTTAGAACATGAGTCCCTCAGGTGTCAAACACAGGCCCGTGGTCCAAATCTGGCCCATGGCGTAAATATATATGGCCCGCAAGATCATATCAAATGTGTATTAGTTTTGGCCCGCTAGTATATATAGTAGTATATGCTGATGGAACTTGTAGTATTAGCAGTATATGCACTATATTATATTGCATACATTTCTGCTTCGTTGGTTTTGGTCAGTAGTTCTCAAATAGTGGGGCGGGCCCCCCGGGGATCAGGTGATGTGCCGGAGGGACATGAGGGGCGTCCAATGAAATATGTACCACTGCTGTAATGATTGAATGATTAAAAAAAAGCCTCCAGTCACTAGGTGGCAGCAAATCATACAGTTGGTTTGTACAGATAAAAATATACACGTTAATCAGGTTCTTGATAGTATTTATAGTAAGTTTCTTTCCATTTGAAAAAAAAAAAAAAGATCTACATTACATTACATATCAGGAGAGAAGGGGAAACATGCACGAGTGCAGTGGATTTTTTCAATAAATATTCATTTTGGCCCGCAACCACTTCCCAGTTTTTAAATTTGGCCCACTGTGAATTTGAATTTCCAGTTGTGATGAGTACACTGCAGGTTTTGGATCCTCCCTATTGACGGAGTATATATTTCCCACTGACAATCACTGAGCATCCAGTTTGAGAACATTGAATTTCTGTAGATTTTTTTTTTTTTTTTTTAGGGCGGTGGGGTGGGTAGGGGGGGGGGGGGGGGGGGGGGGGGGGGGGGGGGGGGGGGGGGGGGGGGGGGGTGTCTGCAGACATGTATCGGATGGTTAAAGAAAGTGCATCCTGCACCTTGTCATCTGTCTAGGAGGCTGCGCTCCTGCACTTTTACCTACCTGTCTGTGGATTTGCGTCAGTGTCGCACCGGGGGACGTATCTATTCCATTGGATTATCTGTATTCCACTTTCTGCTGCTTTGTGACAGACTGAAATCCCAGCCTATATTTCTTCAAGCGTTTACTAATGACAGAAGATCAACCTCTTTTTTTTTTTTTTTTTTTTTTTTAACCCACCCCTCCACACCCCCCTCCTCTCCTCTTTTTTTTCCCCCCGCA